AACCTAGGATTTGCACATGACTTCATCGCTCCAGCAAGACTTGTGAAAACGAGGCCTAAACAGCCTGACTTCATCCCCGTAAAGATTCGAAACCGACTGCGTAAGCATGCTAGGCAATTCTACAGATGTAGTGACTTTTCATCACTCATTACACTCAAGCAAACTTATGATTCATACAAATCTAATCGGTTATCTGAGTCCATCAAACTAGAACGCATCCTCCTTTCACGGCCCGATAATACAGAGGCATTGGTAAGACTAATTAAGTCACGAATTAACAACAACAATAGAATAAGTATCCCTAACTTATTACTAGATGGAGAAAAATTATACGAAGACCCACAGGAGATATGCGAGTTATTCAGCTCCCACTTTTCTAGCTACTTTACTAACGAAGAAACAGTAGGTAGTCTTGATGTTCCGATAATACCATATCACTTTTTGGGTAATATAACATTTACCCAACAAAAGATTTCCTCCGATATAGCATCCCTCCGGACATCATATAAAGCTGGACCTGATGGAATTCTATCTATCTTTAGATAAAGCAATAAGAAGACGTAATTTGTCTGAATCGTGTAATGTATTTGCGCAACACATTTCGAACAATCTGATCACACACGGACTTGTCATAGGAATATATATGAAATTAATAAAGAGGTAAGAGGTGAGAAAATAGACTTAGGTCAAGTTGAAAGGACACATACAAGGTCAAAGTAACAATGAAGACCACTAAACCAAATAGCAGAGGTAATAGTACATCTGCTATGGTATCGAAACAAAATTTACCAAGGAAGGTTAGATGTGATGACGAATTGTTTTTGAACGCATAAAGGTGGCTTAAACTTTCTAATTGCTAGGGCTTCCACAAACTTTAGGATACGCCCCAAACACGTTTTATAGATAGGTTTAAAAGATCTGTTAACGTCAATTTTATGTCCTGTTTCTATAATATGTTTCGCAATAGAGGAGCTAGGTCTCCTGTTCTCACCATTAATGGGTTCTGAAGATTCCATTTGTTTCTGGAGCCATTTAGGAATATGCTCTGAAGCCCTTACTTGCAGAGATCGATGAGTCCTCCCTATGTATGCGTGTCCACACGTACATTCAAATTGGTAAATACAGTGGGATGTGACGTCATTTTTCTCATGTTCGAAGGGCTTAGATAGATATATTGGCTTTACATTCTCTATTATTATGATATTGGCTGCATAAAAAGTCTTTTTGACAGCAGCGTTCAGTCTTTGTCTAGTTATCAAGCTGCTTTGATGCCCCATATAGGGTAGCTTGATGTACACGTCTTTCTTAGGGGCGAGTTGGAGAGTGGGTCTTGGTGTTCTGACTACTTTATATCTCCTGATGAACTTGTCTGGATAATTGTTATCAACCAGAGTTTGTGTCAACTTTCCTTCTTCCGCATCAAGTGTGTCTTCAGTGCATATTCGTTGGATTCTACTGAAGAGGCACCTTACTAAGGCTCTTTTGTACCGAACAGGGCAAAAACTGTGGTAATTAAGATATTGTCCTGTCCAGGTAGGTTTTCTATAAATATATCTTTTTATTGACCCATCAAGCCGTCGACTAAGCAATATGTCTAGGAAAGATAAACAATTATCTTCCTCTTCTACAGATGTAAGTGATATGCTATTTTGGACTTCATTCATTCGATTTAAAATTGAGGTAGCAGAACAAGACTTATCACTGATGATTACAATATCGTCTACATACCTTCTATAAAGTGGCACATTTTTGATCAAATCCTCCGATAAATTCTCAATGTGCGACATAAAAATATCTGCTAAAAGGGGCCCTAACGGACTTCCCATAGCAACACCATCAACTTGGCGGAAACAATCGCCTTCAAATGTAAACCTAACATTGTTAGTACATAGAAGTAATAAATCCCTTAAGTAAGATATAGGGAACGGGATGAAAAAATTGTTTGTGGAAATATAGTCACACAAAATGTCAACTGTTTTGAGCAAAGGCACATTAGTGAATAACGAGTGTAATTCGGGCAATGAAGTAGAGATTGATTTCATAATAGAATAATCTTACTTGTTTAAAAGAGATTTCATTGCATTGCTTAAACATTGCGGAAGTTACCAATGATAAATTGTGTAGTGCTTAGTGTTGATTGAATATTTTGGTTAAGTTTGCTGTATGATGTAAAAGGTATGAGACTCAATATCAGAATAATGTCTGAACTGATTGTAAATAGATGGGAAGAAAAACCTCGCCTAGTTTATCAGCCTATTCCAAGTCCTAAAATGAGGGAAGATTGAGCAAGGACATAGAAACCACACTTCAACTGAAACTTCAAATCACAGGATAATATGAACTTTTTCTCCACCGAAATTAGAAATACTCTTCGATTTCAAGACGGACGATGCCCACAAAAGACAGTCTTCAGGAAGCTAGTCTTCTTTCCATGAAATGAGGATATGGAGTCTTCCCAACATGTTTCAGGCGGGCAAGTAAAGCTAATCAGACTGCAGAAGAAATTAGAAGATGTAGTATGGAAGTGTCGGTAATCAGTGAGAGTATATGGAATAGAAGTGGACTCCTCGAATTTTTAACTTGATAGTGAATAATCTACTCCAAACACTCATATGACAGATAAGAGCACACTGAGTGTATGTCGATGTCATGATGTCAACAACAGAATCGAAGGCTCTCGGAGAGTGGGACAAATCTCTTCCAACATCATGACAGGAATATTTAACTGAAAGGTTATGGAAGTTAAAACAGTACAATGCTATGAGCCTAAAAACAACGCCAACCCAGTGGAGAAAAGGAATGAACTGAAGACAATAATGGACAAGACACCAGGCTCATGCAGAAATCAAAGTTCTGATGGGCGATATAAATACCAACCAAACTGCTAGTTGACAATACAAGAAGAGAAATGTGGTGAACTGATCGAATCACTAGGCTACCTGAATTTACACCCAACAGAATGAATCATATTTTCCCTAATTCTTATTGTCTTAACCATTCACATGTGTCGCAAAATGTACTCACGCACATTTTCAGTCAGCTTTCAGACTACCGGTACGCATTTCGTCGAGGCGAATGAAAGATATAATAAGGGAGTAGTCAGTGCTTCAGATCTAGCAGCACTGCATCATCTGAGATGATATAGACTGTTATTTTACTTAAATATCCTGGGTGAGAAGAAAATATTACTCAATCAATTAGTCTGAGAATTGATCACACTATGTCAAAATTTTGTCTAGAATCAAACTATTAATTAATTAATTTATTTATTTAGAATTCATCGTGGGCCAAGAGGTGGTCACTCGGTTAAATGAATGAGAACGGAGAAATCATTTGGTACAAAGGATGCTAAAGATCAAACTGAAGGCCACCAGGAAAGCTGGAAATATATCACAATTCAGGTTCAATACTCAGGAACTAAAGGACGAACCTACAAATGTCACCTTCACAACATTCATCAGGAAGAACAATTTATCGAGTTTATCGATAGTAACATGGAAGGAAACTTGTATCGATATCTTAAGTAAAAGATATAGTCAAGAAAATGATTGGCTCACTACAGCCCCCTGGAATCTGATAGTGAATAGGAGCAGAGTGAAGCAAAAGATGAACCAATTCAAAGGTGAGTTACGAAAACTAACTAAAACTGTTGACAGGGAAACAAATGTATTTGGGATGTACCTCTGAAGCTCTACATTTCAATCGGAACATAAAGATTGAATAATGATAATAATAATAATGAGTGTGCAGAAAACCAGTTAGAAATGCTTGACGAGTGCTCCATGTCTACTAGGAATGTGCAGCAAGTCAGCTTGTAATCTTGTGCGCAAGAGATTGGTCATTACTAGGTTTTATTTAATTTCACTGAAATGCAATCTTCTTTTAGACTACACTGAAATCTGAGGAATGTGAAACCAATAACCTCTTTTTTTGTGATCCCCTAAAACATCCTGGATTACTAATTCCATTCGGAATAAATCTGTAATAAAGCATAAATCTTATATAGTTGGAGGCAATCGACATGATGCCTTGGACCTAGGTTTCGTGCTAGTTGGCACTCACGAGACAGCAATGTGTATCTTCAATCTTGAAGGAACTCATGTTCCTTCTGATATTCGAATCCGCGTCACCCAGTGCTGTAGTCAGAGACGCTACCACTGTGCTATTCGGGCTCACGATTGACCTCCTGCAAGACTGTAGTGGGTATTTTGGTTGGACAATAGTAACTAGTGTCCAATCAAAAATCCATAAATCTATTAGAAAACACCTATTCTGACTGATTTTAAGGGAAAAACACTTGGCTCATTACAATTATTAAGACATTTTATTAATGCTCTTATAATTCTAAATTTTATGAATAGATGAATGAATGAATGTACAATGTTGTATGTCAAATCGTGTCGACTTTATTATGGCTCCAGTCACCTCAAATAGCTCATAAACTTTAGTGTCATCGGATTTCAGTTGTATAGATCATACATTTTCTCAAAATTTGACAGAAACGCTGACAGTGTGAATTCAAAATCAAAGAACAAATAAAGTACATGAAGTAATTTTTTCTTTTACAGAGATTGACACAAACAACATGTATATTTTTATAAAAAGAAAACTGGAAGAAAAATGTTAAAATCATGTTTAGAGTTAGATGATAATTCAAGTAAGATATGATTCATGAAAACTACGTGATGTTGGAAGTAATACACCCTGTTTACAAGTTCAACAGAAGTAAAAGATGCATTTTCACATTCAAATGTAATCTTACATTTATTTAGAATTGCAATACTTCCTAGTGTGTGATCCTATTTCCTTTTACCCTTTTGAGAAAATGTTTTGATTTATTTGTAGTACTTAACTTATAGTAAGTAGCACAAATATAAAATCTAAAATTGTGCTCTGGCTGTGTGTGTATCGACTGACGTTAACCCTAGTCATTTATAAAATCGTTCCTCTTTGCTTCTGTTTTGCCTTCACCTACTTCTTTGTCATCGTCATCATCTTCTTCAGAATTCTCCGCTGAATGTCAAGTTGTGCGTTTGAGCCAACGTATAGTTTACATAATACTGATATAAAAATGATGGATGTGTTCGGTTGTTGTTATGTTCATATAACACTTTATCAGCTAACCAACGTTCTAATTCATCGTATGCTTCTGGTTCAACATCGGGTAGAAATTTATTCGCAAAAAAATGCGGATGTTTCTTCAACAAGGGTAAATCCCCATTACCAAGCATACATATGGCATTACGATAAATATTTGTATGACACTTGGAAATATAAAACCACCATAGTTTAACACGTGTTAAAACAAAGTATTTTTCTGCTTGTTTAAACGGTCCTTGATACACACCAGGTATTTGGAATGTTTGTGGATTATTATTGAGAATGGCAAAATACTGTTCATCGGGTATAGTACACTGGCGCATTACTTTCTCGTGTTTTTTAAGAGAGTCTAATAGAATTAATGCTTTTTCATTGTAAAGCATATATTCAACAAACTCTCTTCTAAGTGCGACATGAACTGGACCTTCATACCAAACTATCTATAAGGAACAAAGTGGCAAGAAGAAAAGGGGAAAGAAAATTTTATCATATATTTAGAATATGACACATTGAATGGTATGATAAAATAATTGATATGCTAAATACGTTTGTCAGGATTTTAATTAAATTCAAAGTGGAATTATAACGGCAACAGAATCTGCTTCTTCTAAAGCATTGAAATAAACAAATACGAAAAGTTCAACAGTTAAATATAAATAAGCTGTTTCAATTTATCCTGTTTATTAACTCAAAATAATTCAAAAGTGTATGTCAAATGGAACCTGAGATAAAAAATTTGATGTGTGTTGCACATTCCAAACGTCCGCCTTTCTCTACCAGCAAAGTCAGGAGTATCACGTCACGATATGCAGTCCTTGACTATTGTTTTGAGCCACTTAATGATGAATGAGTTGTTGACTGTCAGGCTGGGATACTGAAGATGTTAGGAAAAAGTCAGTTGGACACTGCTGTTGATGACCTGATCCAGAGACGTTCGCAGTAGCCTAGTTGTATTAACTTCTAGAGTCTGGTTTGTAAGGATTAGATTTGTTCATACGAGTTTGATCGCGGATTGGTATGAGTTAGAGAACCACTGAAAACCGGGGGGTACTGGACAGCTGTTTCACCTTAGTTTGGGAATCATCGTCAGTACACACCAATTGGGGTTTGAACCTAGATTCTGAAACATTCCACTTCATGCAGTCAGTTTTTTATTTAAGTGCATTACTATTCTCTACCATTTTCTACGCTTTTATGAAGGAATGGCGAATTAGATTGCTGAACTTTTGTGCAGAGTTCTACGCGGACGCAAAAGCCTCACTGTTTGATTATCCAGCTGAACAGTTATGTTTTACACAGTTCTGACCAGTAATATTTACATCATTTGTTATACTTCTAGTTCTTTTCCACTTTTCAAGGGTTATTATTACAAGAGAAATTATTAATTCACTGACTGATAAGTGTTTGAATAAGTACACACATGATCTGTTGATATTAGATAGCTGGAGGCAATCGGCAGAAGGCCTTGCTTGACCTAAGTTTTGTTTCCTACAGGAGGTCAATCGCGAGCGCTAATAGCTCAGCAGTAACACCGATGACTGCAGCAGTGGGTGACGTGGGTTCGAGTCCAGGAAGGAACATAAGTTCCTTCAAGGTTGCAGATATGCCTTGTTATCTGGTGAGTGTCAACTAGCACAAAACCTACGTCAAAAAAGGCTTCCTGACGATTGCCTCCAACCGTCTAATATCAATAATTCATAGTGCACCGTGATTGTGAGCTATCTAGAATGGTGACAACACTGCAAACATGACTGATCGAATTCAGTATGCACCGCAGACAGGATTAGACACATCACACCAGTTACTAATGTCCAATCAAAATACACGTGATCTGATGAATAATATCACACTCTTTGACTTGTTCTACTTCCTGCAATACTTACTTTGGGTCTTTATACTACATTCAACTTTAACAAAACATTGACGAAATTTAAAATAATGCATGATCAATTATGTTAACATGATTATGATTCCTATTATATGTATCACACATATTTAGCCACTGCCTTTCCCGTCAAGGAACGTTAGCCGATGCAGGATTAGGCTGGATGGGATGGTTAAACCAGAACTTTTAATCGGTCCATGAAATCTTTGACTTTTTGTTTCAGCCAACCATGTAGGAAGGTGAAGGTTTCCTGATCGCGATGATCCAGATGCAAAAAAGCAATGAAAGCTGGAGATAACTGGTGGTACGGCTCAAAATTATCCTCAGTGGTTCTAATGGGTTCACTCTTTGTAATCTCTCAGATCCATTAAACCATCATGTTTCTTCCTTACATTTCTTATTATCGTTCTTCTTATTTTCTTTTATTCTCTGTTTTGTCTTCCTTTGTGTGACAGACACATGGAGTGTGGCAACTTGAACTTCTGCACTTCTGAGCACACTTCCAGGTTGAAATTCAGTCAGTCAACTTTAAATGAAAAATGCTAAAAGACAGTTGATTCGGATTGCAGAAATGAAAAACAAAACAAAAACATTTACTATTTCTATACATGCTTAAATCAATTTTGAGTACTTAGCACTAAGCAATGAAACAGAAGACCTCTCAAAGTGTTTTCACTATAATCTCTGTGTGTGTGTGTGCCTCTCTGAATTTACTACTTAGTCGAATTTGAGCATAAATGACCCAAGTTCATATAAGCATGAAATCGTGATTTAATTATAATTAGGTTTCTTTTTATTTACCAAAAATGACATTTGCATAAAAATAATCGTATAAATAAATGAATAGCAATTTAACTTAACTATATATACATATGTATATGGTAAGTTAATAAGTTATTAGTCATAAATCACGATCAGTGTTGTGTTCTTTTTATGTTATTGAACAGGGTTTCTATAGAGTTGTGAATGATGTCAACGAGAATAAACTACTACTACTACTACTACTCACACTACTACTGGTGGTGACTGAAGATGAAATAAACATCTGGGTCCTCCAGTCCAAGCCTACCTCTGTTAGTCTCATCATCCGTTAACTAAGTACTAAATGTCAAAACACAAAAAATGATGAAATCAAAACCTCCTCTGTTACGCATGAATGAGAAGTTGTCGAATTCTTACTACATAGTCAGAATCCAGTTACCATACTATTATTATTATTCCCTTGGGTTCCTAGTGGAACTTATAGCTTCAACAACACATCTCCATTTTGTCCTGTTCCCTGAGGTCGTCTTCAGCTGGCTCTGAAATCTCCCATGTACTCCCATCTCCACCTCACACAATCTCCTCCGTGTTTCCCTTGGACTCACGTCTAACTCTTCGTTTTCTAGTTGTGTTCCACTCGAAAGGTGGCCCGTCGTGGGGTGTCACCCGATGGCCTTTTGTTCGATTAATCTTCATTTTCTTCTACATATTTGTTGTTTGGTTCGTTCCCAGATTTCTTTGTTGCTAGTTCTTTATGGTCATTTGATCTTCAGTGTTGAGCAAACGTAGCTGTTGATAAAAATTTGCAGTAACCTGTTAGAAGCGATTTTCGTGGCACCAAAGTCAAGTTCTTGACCCATATAGAAGGAGTGACTGTCTGACTTAACACTGCTGTTGAAAATTCGAATTTTGTTCCGTACGCTTAGTGCAGTTGCTTTTCAAATTGATTTCAGAGTGATGAAAATCTGTCTTTTCTTTCCGATTCTGGTTTTGATGCTCTCATCCGTGCTGTATGCCTGTAATTGAAGTGGGGCTTTGTAGATAAATAAAGGGTGTAACCTCTTTCAGATTAATTCTCCTGATAATGATGGTGCAGGAATCATTTACTTGGTACATATTTCAATATGCGCCAAGGAAGAAATGGAGGTGGACTAGCCACACTCTGAGAAAACCACCAAGTGACATCACACGCCAGGCCATTACTTGAGTAGAACCCGAATGGAATGAGAAGCGGCGAGTTGGTCGTCGGTGAGAAGGTGACATGGATGAGGTCATGTGAAGAGGAGGTAAAAGCATGTGGGCAGGCATGGAGCCAGGTGAAAACGTTGGCGGAGAACCGAACTCAATGGAGACGTGCGGCTGAAGCCGTGTGTTCCTCTAGGAATTAAAAGAAACAATAATATGATTATCACATGCGCCAGGGCACGAGCCACACACTTATTGTTGCTTGATTGTTGGTTATCCCACTACTACTAACACTACTATCAAGTTGCCCAGGGTGAGTTAGGTCGAGACGGATTCTATTTCTAACCATTCGAAGTGTTTGCCATTAGAAAGAATAATCTGAGAAGGTAGAAATCGTCAGAGGAAAGCTCCAGTCTGTCTCTGAAAAAAAACAGCGAACACTGATTGAACGCAGTTTGATGCGAACAACAAAAGAAATGAGATTTTTATCGCATGATAGTCACCGCTCTACTAATCACTCGTATTATTATTATTATCAGCATACAATGCGAATTATTCATATCATGACTTACAACAGCAAGAAGAAACCTTATCTGGTGAGGCACATGTTGCTTCCTATTTCTCTCTCTCTCTCTCTTTCTTGTCGTGTCACTCTGGATTCAGTAGAATTATGCTGAATAACAATTTAGGGGATTCAAAACAAGAGTAGACATCAGTCCGTAGATATCTTCACCGTTAGTTTGTGTCATTTAAGGCAAGTAAAACATTTGTGCGTGTGTGTGCATTGAAAATTTCGTCTGTAAGCCTTAGAACAATGCTGTCAATTCAAAACTGTCGGCAGTTATGGGAATGCTTGTTAGGCATACTTCTCATTATCAAGCAAGTTGCCAGAATCATCTGATGTCAAAATCATCTCAGACAGACTTATCTTGTTCCTTCAAATTTGTTCTTTCTCTGTCTTTTGTTGTCTTTGTTACTTGTCTGTCTTTGATTACCTGTGTGGTGTATTATGCCCACCTCAGCTATCACACATTTTATTTATCTTATACTTACTTTTCATCTGCCTTTCCCCTCAAGTATGCAAGACACATTATGAATAAAGCTAAATGAAATATAAGATGTGAATATGTTGTTCTTCTCTTTTCACTTTCTACACACTTCACATTGATCCCAAAAAATACTCAACTTGTAACAGCAGAAGGCAAAACACGGAAGCCAGTCATCAAACTGCTGTTTATATATCTACAATTTATATTCGTTAACCGATCACTGAGCTGTGATTTCGGTTTACGTCAAGCTACATGAAATAGTATGTTCAAATATACCTAGTTTTTTTGTTGTTAATGCAGTATATAACTGTGGGTAAAGTATTCTGTCTCTAATATCAAATAGAATGTTCAAATATACATATGTCGTACTCTGTTGTTAATACTGGAATAAAGTGTGGGAATATGTGAGAATTATATTCCATTGGCACACATTGTCTGTATAACACCAACACAAACTAACTATTATGAGGTTGCTTCACTTACAGCCCTAGAACATATGCGTTTGCTTGCAATGATGTTTGATTCTAATGCTGTATTATCACACCCTACCTACATAGCCTAGCAAAGCTGTTCAAGAAATTGATCACTCTTACCTTCATAGCTTAGTCACGCCCAGCAGAAACCCTGTGTCAGCAATGCAGTCATTAGGCGTGGACTTATAGAAGAATAATTTTTATGTGAACTCGTAAATTTTTCATCAATGCAGGTCACTCGGATAAGCATGGTATATTATTACATACCATCTGCCTTAATGATTTATTTTAAAGGGAATAAGGTCAGTTTAGAAAAAGTAAAGAGGGGTGGGGTGGTCAAGTGAAAACTTGGCAACAGTCTGTTAAGTATTTGGTGTAGATTTCGTTTTGGGTTAGTTCCTTGGGATACTCATTAATCAGTGATTGCAGAATGTTGATACAGTTTACAGTGATGTAGATCTATCCACTCTCCTTGTCGTCATCCAAATTCTGAAGATATACACTGTGTTCTTCATCTAATTATCATCTCTCTTACCTCCATTGTAGTTCTTTTTATATTTCTTTCCTATAGTTTGACGTAAACTTCTCAGAATTGGGACAGACTGAACTGTTGTATCTTTGTGCAGAGTTCTACACTTATTAGTCAACTAGTCAGTCAACAGAAAAGGTGCAGTATTACTTTAATACGTTCAGTATAATTATACTACTAGAATTCCTTATTCCTCTTTTTTATCCTCTAAACTTGTTTAACAGGATTCTACAGTTTATGTGAGTTATTTTTTATTTTCCAGTTGGTCAATTTGTATTGGACTGAAGTGGTTATTGGCAACCAGTACGAACACCTGTGGTGTCTGATGGTTAGCATAATTTCATTTACTTGGTGACGATTCGCAGTGAAATTCAAGACGTTCGTTTCTTCCTACCTGGATGCACCTGCATCTTAAATGAATGATGGTCTTCCTTCCCAGACTGGAACTCATCAACCATGGTCTGAAACTCCGAAATGTTATCCCCCAATGAGACAATTTTTTCATTAAAAAGACGTAGCAGCATATTGTCCAGTGAAAATCAGCCACCTGGAAATACAAAATAACTTAAGCAATTAGGAGCTGACAGCTTTTATTTTAGTAGGGTTCTTTGTGCCCACATGCATAACCCCTTGGTGTTTGAAATAACGTCTGCTAAGTTCCAGTGAGAGTATCTCCAACTGATGAGGCCGAACTAGGGCAAAATGCACATTCTGAACTCCATCACTATTCAAATAACAGGAGTGAATAGTCTTTAAATGTCTATTCGTTTTCTTACAGGATAAAATTGTTTCGCAAACACTGATTCTCTCCACACAGCTGTATTATTTATTGTCGATAGTGAGACAGAACCTTTCCTCTTTTTCGGAAAAATAACTACACCAAGAAGTCTTTAAAATTATTGTTCACTTCTGATAAACCGAATATTGTACCTGTAAAAGTATAGAAAAATAAAAATGGTCAATGAAAAAAATTAACTTACATCTAAAGGAACGAGACGTTTTGGCGGTATACGCCATGGTTTGCTTTGTAAACAATGCGCTGGCGCCACATTCAAACCGTTCAATGCTTTCAACGCTTTAACCAACTCCCAATTAGTTCTTAGTGGAAATTCATGTCCAGTTAAATTGATAAAATATCTCCATTTTCTACTTTTAGCTAGTAGTAATTTAGCACAATTTAAATCTGCCTCCAACACAGAATATCTACCCCAGACAACATGAACACGTTGATCTTCTGGGATAAAATAAATATTTTCACCTAATTGTTGAACATATTGAACAAATTCAGTGTATTCAATGCTGTTTGTATTTTTATCAATATGTATACAGTATACATTGTTAGGTCGATAAATTGCTTTAATCAAACGAAATGCTCTATCAAAATCACGATAAGTAATTACACTGAATGCTAATGGGAAGTTTAATTCCTCTTCAGTCAATAAATATGTGTAATTTATATAAGAATTAACATCATTGTTACTATGATCACTTGATGCAAATTTGATCTTTTTTGTACAGAAATATTTATGAAGTGAAAACACAGATATCAAACAAAATATTAACAGACATGTGCGTAGAACAGACTCGATTTCATCGTGCAGTAATTTTTTAACGCGTGGATTACGACAAATCATATGGAATTGTAGTGAATTTTTAGAAGAAAATTTTCACGTTTGACTTCAATCAGGATTTAAATTGTACAAATACTGACAATCTGGGCATTACTCGTGTGAACAATCAAATAGTTTACAGATTATTGATAGACAGCAACTGCTTGCTGCACGTTGCTGTGATATTAAATTCCATGATAGTTTTCTGTATTATTGTTGTTACCGTTATTATTACTACTATTGTTATTATAATAAAGGTTTTTGTATTTCTCAATGAATGAAAAACAAAACGATATTGTTTTTACTGACGTTTCGCTATTTAATGCTAATAATACTACTATTGTTATGTTTGTAAATAGTTTAATTTCTGACTTTCTTGTTTGAGATATGCATTCCAATGTTATTGTGCCAGTCTTTTTAGAGTTACCCGTTGGGATTAGTGAAATCTGGCAGGAAACTGTCAGCTGTTCAGATTTGTTAAACGTATTTGTGTGAAGATCCAGCGATCACACTATAAGAACTTTACAAAAGGAAGTGAAGTAGAAAAAGCTGTCATTATTTTTGTTTAAATGCCTGTAACCATGTAACAGTTGCAAATGAAAATGATATTTGGATAAAGCAAGAAAAAGAGTTTGTGCAGAATGAGATGGTACCATCATTGCTTATTTCGTTGGCCTCTCTCATCAGCTGCCTACAGCCCAAGGAAATCATTAAGTATATTATTTACAGAATGAATCAAATCGCAACACTATGGATCATCATTGAACAGAGCTAGGAATGGCAGTCACCTCTCTATCTCAACTTCATTGACTTTGAAAAGGCCTTCAACAGACATCATCGATCGAGAGGTGATTTGCAAACTACTTCGCTACTACGGTGTGCCGCCAACAATTATACACTTCATCCAACAGTTGTACGACAATGCTTCATGTCAAGTAATCCACAACGGGAAACTCAAGGAATCCTTCGAAGTGAAGACAGGAGTAAGACGAGCTAGCTGCCTACTGTCTCCAATGATTAATTTCCTGATTGTAGTAGACTGGATAATGTGACAGACAGCAGGCAGCGAGGAAACAGGAATAAAATGGACCCACACAAAAAACTTAGGGGATCTGGACTTCACCAATGATATTTGTCTGACTTCCCACAAACTGGAAGATATGCAAGTGAAAAGCAACAAGTTGACGGAAGAAGCATATAAAGAGAAGATGGGACTTCATGTTAACATGGAGAAAACAGAGGTGATGCAGATTCCTGGTCAACAGCAACAGCAACATAAACAGACAACAATCAGCCAGGATAATGGGAGAAATCTGAAAGAAACAAACTCCTTCACCTACATACCTACCTACCTACCCGGAAAGCATCGTTTCAACCACAGGCGGACGGAACTGATGAGGATATCAAAGCAGCGAGGATCGGGAAATCACGGCAAGCTTTCATTACTCTCAAGTCTGTATGGAGATCAACAGCAATCAGTATGAAAAGTAAGGTGCCGATTTTCAACTCCAATGTGAAGTCAGTCAGTGTTACTTTATGGATCAGTGACTTGACACCGAGTCACGAAGGGCACTTCGAACAAACTACAGACCTTCATCAACAGGTGTTTTCGGCCACTACTCGAGTTCAGATGGCCGGCCAGTAAAGATCAGCAACTGTGATCTTTGGGAGCGAACCAACCAGGAACCGATTGTGCAACAAATATGCAGGAAGAAATGGAAGTGGATTGGCCATACTCTGAGAAAACCATCAAGTGAGTGACATCACACGCCAGGCCATTGCTCGAGTGGAACCGGAATGTGAAGCGGTGAGTTGGTCTTCAGTGCTGCGTGACATGGAGGTCATGCAAAGAGAAGATGAGGGCACGTGTGCAGACATGCAGCCAGGTGGAGACGTTGGCGGAGAACCGAACTCAATGGAGATGTGCGGCTGAAGCCCTATGTTCCTCTAGGAACTAAAGGAAACAATGATAACACAATAATAATGTACAGAATCTTTTTCAACATAGTTGCAAATGTTAATTGATGTCAGTCAAAAAAAGACTCCAAACATACCTCGAACTAGTAATGCAGTGGACAATAATTCAATTTCAGCAATGTTTGTCCAATTAAATATAAACAAGCATTGGTCAGTACTCTGTTTATTGAGCCAAGAGAACACAGTCTAGAGAGGAATTGGAAGAAGAATTTCAGTTTCTCTAGAAGTTATTGAAAATCAACGTTTGTCCTCAGAAATTCATAACAAGTACGTGAGATGTGTCGACTCAAATTTGAAACAAATCACAGTGGGAAAACAGCCTATCTTAATTTAACCTGATTACAAAGGTGATAATATTGCAGCAATAACTAACAGACAACTGAATGCCTCACTGGCGAGAACCTATCCTGCAGCTAATTTTGTTCCTGTCTATCGGACAACATTGACTTTGATGCAATCACAAGTCGACATATAACCTTCTAATGTTAACTCTGAGTGTGTATAGAAATTCACATGTATCTACGGTGGCAGTTAAATTGGGGGGACAGAAAGAAGGGTACACCTCCGAATTTTTTAACATGTACTAAAAAGCCTACTTCTCAAGGCAACTAACGCTTGTAATAACGCCACTGCCAGACACCTCATCAATACGGGTCATGAGGTGGACATCGTGAAATCCTTTTAAGTTATCAACAGACAAAATATTATGGACACAATATACGGCAGAGAGACTCTTTATTAATGAATTTATTATCAAGCTGTGCAATAGCACTTAAAAAAAATTATATCTCTTGAAGAGATTTAACTGGAGTAAATCCATAGAGTAATCCAAAAGTCAATTTATCGTAAGTCCACATGGAAAGGACAATACTTACATTTTAATAGCTTTTGTCCAAATAGCTATAACGAGCACTGGTCAAGACTCTGTACTATAGACCGAGAAGAATATGCTCTACAGAGAAACTAGAGGAAGAATTTGAGTTTCTTGAAAAGACATTGAAGAGCAATGGGTACCCTCAAAAGTCCATCAACAAGTATGGAAGATCTGAAGTCGCAAATGAAAAACAAATCACAGTAAGAAAAAAGCCAATCTACTTTGAGCTTGATTATAAAGGCGAAAACATTGCAGCAATGATCAACAGAAGGCTGAGCACATCACTAGCCATACATAGCCTATCCTGCAGCTAAGCTCCTTCCTGTTTTTTGAACAACTTGCTCTCTGGTGCAATCAAAAATCGATAGATATCCTTCTCATGTTAACTCCAACTGTATATACAAATTTACATGTATCTGCGGGAGCAGTTACATTGGAAGAACAGAAAGAAGAACATATCTACGATTTTCTGAACATGTACCAAAAAGCTTACGTCTACAGGGAACAAATGCTTTAAACAGTGCCATCGCCAAGCATCTTCTTGACACGGATCATGAGGTGGACTTCGAAAAGTCGTTCAAAATTATCAATAAGCAAAAGAGCTCAATTCTCCTAAGGTTTGCTGAAGCATTTTCCATCAAGCGCCTAAAACCTGATTTGTGCGTTCAGAAAGAAGCGGTTATCAGTCTTTCTTTGCCAACCTGGTAACTGGATATTTTTCATCCTAATGCGAGATACTCAAAAGTTTTCATTTTGTATGATTATTATTGCTCGGAATTGTGTTCAATATTGCATATATATATATATATATATATATATATATATATATATATATATATAATTAGTGTATGTGTATATTGATCGATTGATTTTTGTATAAAATGAACTCTGTGTAAGTATGGTAAATTACTATTGTCGATACATTTAATAATGTTTTTGCCCTGTAAGCAGCTGAAGAGAAGGCGATGAAATGAAATATGGTACCATTTTATTCTGCTAAAACTGTAGTTGTTGCTTTGTTTAAAGAGTAATAATAGTATGAAATGCAATTAAGACGTTTATCATTATAATCGTAGTTCAATACCAAGTGTCAAAACAAATAATCTCATATGTAGAATGGTTCAAAGGATGCATAAATGTTCGAAAGGGTGTATAATTAAACGTTTAGTAAACAAAACAGTTCGATTCTGCTCAAGTTTACCGAAGCAATCTCTATCAAACTCCTGAAACTCGATTTGTGTATTCAGAAAGAAGCGGTTATCAGTCTTTCCTAATCCTGGTAACTGAATGTCTTTGCTCTCTTTCCCTCTCTCATTTGATTATCCAATCTTTGGCTTTAGCCTCAACCGTCTTTATTAAAACGTAACTTTGCTTGTCTCTTGTTTCTATGATTTAAGTTGAAATCACTGGATTGTTATTCAGTCAGCTGACATCATGTGGAAATTGCAAGTATTTTAAAAATGGTTCTGTAGATGAACTCAATGATTCCTTTAGGCTGAAGACAGCTGATGAGAAGCAAACGAAATATGCAATGATGGTACCATCTTATTCTTTACAAACTGTCCTTCTTGTTTTATTCAAATCCACAAAGAGGAATAAATGTAATCTCCATTATGGATAAGATTTTATTTTGATAAATCACACAGTGTTACACAGTAATATTAACTGATGACGTTTCGAGCACAAACTATTACTGCTCATAATCATATCAAGTTACTCACACAACTTTTTTCCTTTCATTTATATACATCTGAGGCCCTACGTAGGATTCTCAATAAAGCAGGAATTAGAGTGGCATTCAAACCTACAAACTCACTCAGAGACAAGCTTTGTAGGTTGAAAGACCCGGTGGACCCAATTAAACAAAATAATATAATTTACAAAATACCCTGCAATGACTGTGAGTAAGGTCAACTACACAGGTCAAACTAGTAGGTCAGGGATAGTCAGATTATCAGAACATAAGAATTTAGCTAAGGGAAGAATGGTTGACCCTGAAAAGATAAGCAATTTAGAAAAAAGCTCAGCTATTGCACTACATGCATTAGCTCACAACCACACAATAGGGTAGGATAGGGTTAAAATTCTAAAAAGTAATATAGGTAGGTGGAGTGAGAGGTTGATTACGGAATCCTTATTCATCGAGTCTACACCCAACACATGTAACAGAAGTGACTCAATGCAAATACCAGAAATATGGAAGATATTATTACCGCCAGTCAAATCAGAAGAGAATAATAAATAATCTCAAAATTCTATTTCAATTCAAGCAAATCACAACATCCTAACAAATTACTTAATATAACTATAAGAACATTCGTCTTATTTCCCATCTAATTGTATTTGATCAATAACACTCATATTATTATCTCTGAATGTATATTATCTCATATTAATTTTTATTCCAATATCTAATCGATTCCACACATGTATATAAATGAAAGAAAAAG